CTGGAGGCAACCATTGCCTCGGAGGTCTCGTACAGCGTAGTAAGACCGCAAGACTCCCATAGAAGTCTCGTCTGATCGTCACTGGCAATGTACATCTTGTACAGATCGCCCAAGCCGTCACAGCCGGAACCATGACAGCGCGTCCTCCCGACGGTGATGCCCCGTCTCACCCTCTCAGAAATATGGTGGACAGGAGAAAAGTACAAGGTCCGCTCATCCCACTCGGGGAGTCGACCAAGCGAAGTGGACAGCTCGACATCGTCCTCCACGGGCTATTAATATGTTTTAACGTTGATATGATTATTTTAAGTATGATTATAATTGTTATAATTTATGGTGATCATTTAATTATTATTATTTTTATAATTTATGATGATTATTTATTATGTTGCTTGATTATATTTATTTTTATTACTTGATCACGCCTTTTTATGTATGTTTAAAGGGAATTTGTACTTGTAATCACGCTTATTAAGATAATTAATAATCTTGTTTAGGGTTAATTTGATTATAATTCAAGTGATCGCCAATAATTGATTTATTTGTGCATTAATATTCAACCAACATAGATTAAACAGGTTTAGGGTTAATCTTATTGATTGCATGTTAGTCAGAAAGCGCACATGAATACGAGCTGAATAAAGTATAGGCCTATTATTAGGGCAGGTTCAATCTCTTTTAGGCTGGATTTGTACCTTCATCCCCGAACCCTATTTGGTTCAAGACCTTATGGAGTTGACGATCTCTTGGATCGTTAAGGGGTGTAACCTTCACCTCGTGAACATTTTACAAGTTCCTAAAAAAAAACTTGTTGGCGACTCTTTTGCTCTATCTTCTTTCCCTTTAGACGCCACCGTACTTTAGTGTATGATCACAGTGGGATTCAAGCTAGGGGTTAACGTTTGAAATATTCCCTACAATTGTCCTTGCCTTTTTTTACCTTGGACGGATTTTTCATTTGTTCACTTGCCATTATTCACAAAATATACACAAAACATGATCTTGCTTTCGTTTTAAACCAATAACCAAACTTATATACCACAATCTCCAAAATATGACCATTTGCTTTGCAAAAACCAAAGATGAAAACGAAAATGAAACAAAAGGCTCAAGAACTAAAGATGTGGCTTGAAGAGAAGGGAAAAAGGCTCAAAGGGCTAGAAAGTAGGCAAATGTATCCCTACACCCAAAAGTAAAAAGAAATTCACTATCCTAGAAAAAGGAAAAATACCTCCCCGAAAAGATGCCTTTGTCCTCCCTAGGTGGTTCGGTCTCGGTCTTAGGAATCATACGTTAAGATTCAAGATTAGGTTTGCGAAAGTCAAGGATCCATGCCACTCATGCAAGAAAATGTTGAAAGCTTGAAAAAGTATGAATCTCACATGAATGTAGCAAAAACTCACTAAGGTTGTCAAATCAAAGATAGGGAGCAACTACCAACATGCCACAAACAAGTAGAATCCATTTTCATGATCCCCTTAGTTTCTAGACAACTACCTTAGCATGCTTTATCCTAGAATCAACCAAACGTAATCTCAAACCGTGCATACCATGACCACCTAGTAAGATTATTAGTCAAAAGCAAGAGTCCATTATTTACAAGTCCAAGTCAAAATAGAAAGAGTGAAAAATAAAGTCTCAAAAAGCTATGTACAAAACAAAGAACAAAAAGAAAAGAAAATAAAAGATGGAAAACAAAGATAAAGGAAAAGTAGGAGAACAAAGAAAAGGACAAAAAAGATGCAATCATAACACGTATTTCCCAATCGACATACAAGCGGTCAAATGGCCACATCGCCAAAGACCCCAAACACACTAGGTGTTATAATCATACATTCTCGAACCATTCAACTCCCCTAAAACTAATCCTAATCTAAGAAACCAAGAAAAGTAAAGGAATAAAAGTAAAGAGATAAAACAAGAAAGGTCTCACCAAGCGTCCAAGCTATGCTACAATAATCAAAGAGCAAGAACGATCTCCTTTAAGAAGCTTCTAAGACCAAAGCATAAGCAACGAGCAAGGTGAGAAAAAGAAAATGTCTATACACAAAATGAAATTGTTAGTAACTTCCAAATTAAAGCAAACAAAAGAAAGCTTAATTGAATACTATGTACAAAGACCTAGAGAAACCATCATCATCATCAAACGAATCCACAAAACATCATCATCAATACCAAGACAACAAGACAAACAACATACCAACCGAGACTACCAAGAGCGAAGCAAGAGAAATCCATCAAAGCCTTTTCAAACACATCCCCATGAGTCCAAGGTTCCTCCCCAAGATCCTACCCTTAAACATCCTTTTTGATTCCCCCCCCCCTCACAAAATAAGGGCATCGACCGCGATGCTCAAAAACATGCAAAGCTAAAAGGGAGGAAACAAAAAGGGAATCAAACAACCAAGGGGGAAAACTATTGGCCACTAGGGCCGGCAACACCATCACCCACATCCCAACCTCCGGTAAAACCGGGAGGGAACCCATAACGACCCTTAAAAAGCTCAAGTTGGGATGTGGACAATTGGTCAAATGGCTCGGGTTGCATATAGAGCTCAGGGTGAGTGGGGTGAACATAGTAGTAGTCGGGGTCACCTCGATAATCACTCCCCCCCGAAACCCAGTAGTCATAATGACCGGACTCATCTGGGAAGTCACGTCTTGGCTTATCGGGGTGTGTAACCCCAGGCCAATAGGGGTACGTGGGGAGGTTGTCCCCACCCCAAGATGGCGCCGGCCCTTGTTGGGGCGGCACATATGGGTAGTTCACCGGAGGGTGACCTCCCCCCTACGCACACTTGCGTCATATAAGGCGCTAGTTTGAAAAGACAAAGTTTGATGGTTGGAATACATACCTTGCATGCTCAATTGCATGCGCTCCATATGCTCACGCAGAGCCTCCATCTCACGGAGATAGGCATCTCCTTGGTAGGCTTGTTGTTGATGTTGTTGTCTTCTTCTTCTTCTTTGCTGCAGTTGTTGTTGTTCTTCTTGCTCTTCTTCTTCTTCCTCCTCATCTCCACCTTCTCCTTCTCCACCTTCTCCATCATCATCATCATCGTCCTCATCATCGTCATCTTCCTCCATATAATCCTCCACTATCCCATTATCCATAGGAATCCTCCAAACAATCCTATCCTCTCGAGTAATTAAGGTGGCAGCCGGGTTTGGGAGCAAACAATGGTGCACATTACGCACTAGCCAAGAATAAACAATGTCTCTCTTAGTCTTAGTAATGAAGCGCAAAGTGTTAAGTTGCTTCAAATATAAGTACATGTCTTCACTCCCTCCAATCGGAGTGCAAGACCTCAAGAAACGTTCTTGCTTGAAATAATGCACCAATCTAGTAATCATACCACCACAATGAATCTCACCCCTCTTCTTCCCATTGATGATTACTTGACAACAATTCATGAAAATATACCCAAAATTCAACCTTGGCCCCAAATCCGGCCCTGTAGCCATCCAAAGAACTAAGATATCCTCCCTCGAAAGCTTCCCAAGATCTTTCTTATTAAACACGGCATAGCCAAGAACCCGATGAAGAATTCTAAGAGCTGCGTGAATGATCTCACTAGCAAGTGAATCCTGAGAGTTAAACACCATATTCTTAGATATGACACTCCACCATGCTACCTCATTTTAATCGGACTTGAGAAGGGCAACCAAGGGCTCATAGATGTCAGTATTGGGGTTGAAACCAAAGGCTTTGTTGAATTCGGCAAGGTTCATGGTATGTTTTGAGTTGAATAGTTGAAAAGAGATGATATAATCGGTATCCCCTGACCTAATATACTCAAAGGTGGAGAAAAACTCAATGCACGGTTCCAAATAGGTTTGCGGGGATGTCTTTACATACTCATCAAAACCAAGGTTCCGAGTAAAATGTCAAGGTCGGCATTTGACCATAACATCGGGAAGATAGTTGCGGGTAGGTCTAAATTTCAGGGACATGTTTAGACCGGTTGTGAAATTTGAGAGGAGGTAAAGTAGGAGGTGGGTTATCATCTTGAGTAGTTTGGTTTTGAGGAGGTTCGGTGTTTGAAGGTTGGCTACGAGTGGATTGGCCTTGGGAGGATTGGTCGGGAGATTGGTTTGAACTTTTCTTGCAACTCTTAACTTTCCTTAACAAATCCATAATCTCAAGTTCAACCAACACAAGAATTCACACAATCACCCAAAATCAACACCAGCACTACCACCAATACTTATAACACCTTCATAAACCACCCAAAACCACCACAAACTACAAAGTACTTGTTACAAGCAACAAAACAGCCAAAAATCCAACAACAACCAACAACATTAACAATCCAACATAAAAATAGGCACAAATTACTCAAAATAATTCCAAAATCACCAAACAAACTACTAAAAACATCATAGTCATGCTTAATCAAGGCCAACCAAAACCAATGTATAATAATCAATTGAAATTGACAAAAATAAATCAAAGGTTAAAAGTATACCAAGATTGAAGACTCAAAGTAAGCTCAAAAAACCGTCTATGACTCGAAATTCCTGAAAAAAGCCACGAGAAAAGAGATTATGCTTGATGAAAATGGAGTGTGATGGAAATTGGGATGGAAATTTGAGTGAAAACTAGGGTGAATTTGTGTAAATTTGTGTGAGAAAGATGATTTGGGGGTTAGGGTTTGAGAGGAGGAAGAGAGAGAAAGGGGGAAATTAAGGGTGAAATGGAAAATAAGAGAGGAGAGAGAGAGAGGAGGGAAAATCGGGTTACTAAACAACCCAGGTGCCCGCGCCCTCTCTCGACATCATCGCGCCCGCGGAGAGACCGCGGGGCAACCGTGGGCCTATTCTGGAAAATTTTGATTTTTTTTACCAGAAAAGGGGGTCGCGCGCTCTCCGGGATTGTCGTGCCGGCGGGGCAACCACGGAGAGTTCCTAATTCATTTTTGTGAAAATAGGCCACGCCCTCTCCCGACTTTGCCGCGCCCGGGGTGATTAGCCCGCACCCGCGGAGAGCCTGCTAAGAGCTACTGATTCGATTTCCCTCTTTTTAAAGTAAGGGCACCCGAGGCCTCTCCAAGCCCGCAGGGTGCCCTCTCCCCTGCACTCCAAAATCTCCTTTTGCCATCCTCATCAAACACATTAAGTCCATAGATGATGAATGAAGGCAACCTACAAAACAAACCAAAAACACAAGGAAAGGTAAGAGCAAAAATCAACAAAGAAAAATAAAAGAAAGGAAAGAAAAGAGAGTAGAGGTGAGAATCCGGGTTGCCTCCCGTAAGCGGTTTTATTTAACGTCGTCAGCTCGATGTTTACCACCCCACTCAAGGTGGCTTGAAAAGAATCATTTTATGAATAATACCAACAAACACTCCATCAAAATATCTCTTGAGCCGATGACCATTAACCTTGAAAGAAGATAAGGAATCCAAAGAAGAAATCTCCACGGCACCATTAGCAATAACATCTTTCACCAAGAAAGGGCCACTCCATCTTGACATGAGCTTTCCGGGAAATAACTTCATTCTTGAATTGTAGAGGAGGACTTTATAACCAACACAAAATTCTTTTTTCTCAATAAGCTTATCATGAGCTTCCTTGGAACGAGCTTTGTAGGTACTAGCACAATCATAAGCATCAAGTCGAAGCCCCTCTAGCTCATGAAGATCCAACCACCTTTTCTCCCCCGCACTTTTTAAATCAATGTTTATCTTCTTGATTGCCCACAAAGCACGGTGTTCAAGCTCCACCGGGAAATGGCATGATTTTCCATAGACAAGGTGATATGGAGTGGTGCCAATAGGTATCTTGAAAGCCGTTCTATAGGCCCAAAGAGCATCATCTAACTTGTCCGACCAATCCTTTCTATTCCTTGCAACCGTCTTCTCAAGAATAAGCTTTATTTGACGATTGGAGACCTTGAATTGGCCACTCTGAGGATGATATGGAAGGTCAAACCGTTGATGAACTCCATGTTTCCTCAACATCTTTTGGAAGGCATTGTGAACAAAATGAGACCCGTTATCGCTTATCACAGCCTTAGCACACCAAACTTTGGGAAGATGATTTTTTTGAACAACTTCAACACAACTTTGTGGTCATTTGTTAGGGAAGCAATGGCCTCAACCCATTTAGAAACATAGTACACAGCCACAAGTATGATTTAATTTCCATATGGAGTTGGGAATAGTCCCATGAAGTCAATCCCCCATACATCGAACACCTCTAACTCAAGAATAGGTTGTTGAGGCATCTCATTCCTCTTGGATATATTCCCAACTCTTTGACATCGGTCGCATGACTTTACAAAGCCCCATGAATCCTTGAAGAGATGTGGCCACCACAAACCACATTGAAGAACCTTAGTGGCGGTTTTGGAAACACCCATATGGCCACCACTAGGATCCAAATGGCACGTCTTTAGAACACTTGGCACCTCTTCATTCGGAACACAACGCCTAAGAAAGCCATCAACCCCTCGTTTATACAAGATGGGATCATCCCACAAGTAATGTCTTGCCTCCCTCTTGAGTTTCTTCCGTTGGTTCTTGGAGAAAGAAGGTGGAAACTCCCCACATGCTAGAAAGTTCACCAAGTCGGCATACCATGGGAGGTCCGTAACCTTAATGGCATACAAGACATCATCAAGCATTCTATCTTCAATTGGTAAACCATCATCATGAATTTGATCACCCTCAAGGCGAGAAAGATGGTCCGCCATAACATTTTCTGCACCCTTCTTATCCCTAATCTCTATTTCAAAATTTTGTAATTCAAGCACCCAACGAATCAACCTTAGCTTGGACTCTTTCTTGGCAAAGAGATACTTGAGAGCCGCATGATCCGTGAAGACAATAGTCTTGGAACCCAACAAATAACACCGGAATTTCTCAAAAGAGTAAACAATGGCAAAGAATTCTTTTTTCGTTGTTGTGTAATTCTTTTGGGCCCCATTTAGTGTCTTGGACATATAGTAAATCACATAAAGATTCTTGTCCACACGTTGTCCCAAAACACCTCCAATTTCCCAATCACTAGCATCACACATCAATTAAAAAGGTAAATCCCATCTTGGGGCTTAAACAATAGGGGTAGAGATTAGGGCCTTCTTCAATATATTAAATGCCTCCAATCATTTACCATCAAAAACAAACTCAACATCTTTTTGAAGAATATCATTAAGGGGCTTGGCAATGAGTGAGAAATCCTTGATGAATCTTCTATAGAAGCCCGCATGCCCCAAAAATGATCTCACTCCCTTGACATTCACCGCAGGTGGAAGATTCTCAATAACCTCGATTTTGGCCTTATCCACCTCTATTCCTATATGAGAGATCTTGTGTCCAAGCACTATTCCTTCCTCCACCATGAAGTGGCACTTCTCCCAATTCAAGACAAGATCAACCTTCACACACAGTGCCAAACATTTCTCAAGATTCACAAGGCACTTTTCAAATGAGACCCCACCTACGGAGAAGTCACCCATAAATACCTCCATCTCTTCCTCCAACATGTCTCCAAAAATGCTCATCATGCACCTTTGGAAAGTTGCGGGGGCATTACAAAGACTAAAGGGCATTCTCCTAGAAGCAAAGGTCCCGTAAGGGCATTTAAATGTTGTCTTCTCTTGATCTTCGGGGTGGATTGGGATTTGGAAAAATCCCGAATAGCCATCAAGGAAGCAATAGAACTTGTGCCTTGTTAGTCTCTCTAACATTTTATCAGTGGATGGAAGGGGAAAGTGATCCTTTTTGGTGGATGTATTAAGACGTCGATAGTCTATACACATCCTCCAACCGGTGATCGTCCTAGTTGGAATGAGCTCACCTCTCTCATTCTTGACTACGGTCATACCCCCCCTTCTTAGGAACGACATGAACGGGAGAGACCCACCTAGAGCTTAAGATGGGGAATATGATTCTCGCATCCAAGATCTTGGTGATCTCTTTTTTCACCACCTCTCCCATTTGAGGGTGTAGCTTTCTTTATCGTTCAATAGAAGGAAGGGTGCCTTCCTCAAGCGTTATGTGGTGTGTACACAAAGCAGGGCTTATACCCTTAAGATCATCAATAGTATAGCCCAAAGCACCTTGTTTCTTTCTCAAGACACAACATAACGCTTGAGCTTGGCTCTCGCTCAAGGATGCACTAACAATTACGGGGTTAGTGGAATTTCGGCCTAAGAATTCATACATAAGGTGTGATGGTAGAGGTTTGAGCTCTACCATAGGCACACCTTTACCTTCTTTTGTTGCGGCCGCTTGCAAAGCTTCATGACTTGAGATCTTCAAGCACAATTGTTTACCCACTTCCTCCGTGTTTCCATTAAGAAATTCATCATACAATGCCATCTTCTTGCATGGTGCACCTAGCTTATCTTTGTTCAACAAAACATTCTCAAGAGCATCGTTAGAGGTGATCAATTTCTCATGCATGGAAGACACAACATGATCAAGAGAGTCAATTATCATGTAATTTTCAAGAGAAGAACTTGAATATTTCATGCTTTCATTTAAATCGAATTCTATGACCTCATCGCCTACCTTAAGGGAAATCTTTGCACACTTGACATCTATCATAGCACCCAAGGTAGCAAGAAAGGGTCTACCTAGAATGATAGGAATGGTAGCATCTTCATCCATTTCTAGAACAACAAAATCCACCGGGAACGCAAACTTCCCAACCCTCAATGGAACATCTTCGACTTTACCTTTTGGAAACTTGTTTGACCTATCGGCTAGTTGCAAGGTTATGTTAGAAGGTAATAGTTCCCTTAGATCAAGTCTTTGATAAAACAAATATGGAATTAGGCTTACACTAGCTCCTAAGTCACATAGGGCATTATTAATTTGCATCTTGTTAATAACACAAGGGACGGAGAAGTTTCCGGGGTCTTTCAACTTGGGTGGCATTTTGTTCATGATGATCGCACTACAATTTTCAGTAAAAATAATAGTCTCAACAACATCACAAGTCCTCTTCCCACTCAAAATGTCTTTGAGGAATTTGGCATAGTTAGGCATTTGGTTGATCATATCGGTGAAAGGTAGAGAAAGGTGAAGTTGTTTGAGCATGTCAATAAATCTCCCAAATTGCTCATCCAATGTGTGTCTCATGAATTTTTGGGGATAACGGAACTTGGGTTTCACAATCTCTTTCTCTACTCTCACCTCTCTTGGTGTCTCAACCACAACCTCATCTAGAGATGCTCTATCTCCCCCATTCTCAACCAAAGCTTCCTTGGGGACCTCCTTGTCTTCACTCCTCCTAGGAAATCTCTCCTCAAGAACCTTACCACTCCTTGTAACAATAGCATTCACGGGTTTCTTGGGACCTAGGCCTTGGGAAGGTAAAGAAAAAGGTCTTTCTTGGTCTTTCAAAGCATTAGCAAGTTGAGAAATTTGGTTTTCGAGCATTTTGTTGTGGGTCATCATCTCATTGAAATTCTTGTCACTAACGGCCATGTATGTGTTCAAAAACTTGGTTGATTTTCAATTATTTCCTCCAAATTGGTCCTAGAAGAAGAAGGTTGTGAATAGGAATTTTCACTTTGAGTCTTTGGAACAAATCTGAGTGGGGGACCTCTTTGAGAATTATTTTGAAAATTGCCCCTACCTTGATTGTCCAATTACCCCTATTTTGATTTTGACCATAACCTTGATTATGGTTTCCACTACCTTGGTTATGATTTTCATAAATTTGGTTTTGATTACCATAATTTTGGTTTTGATTTGACTACTATAACCTTGATTGTTATAGTTACCACGAGAACCTTGGTTCCCTTGGTTCCTATAACCACCACCTTGATTATAGTTGTCAAAATTACTTTGGTTTTGGTAATTCCTATTCCATTGACCTCTTTGATTATCAAACCTTTGCACATTATTATTTGAAACATAATTCACATGCTCACTCTCATTATTATCAAAATCATCACTGCATTCCGAAGAAGCATGAGGGCAATTATAAGAGTCGTGATCATAAGATCCACATGCATCACAAAACAAGCAACCACTAGGCATATTATTTGAGGAGGGAGGGGGTTGAGAGTTAGAGAGAGTACCTCTCCCCTTAAACTGGGAGGGAAGATTCGAAGCTTGAAAAGAAGAGGAGCTTTCCAACTAACTTGGCCTTGATTGCGGTCATTTCTTTCCCCGAGTTTGTCATTTGTGAGGATAAGTTGTTGATCGCATTTAGATGGTCTATAGAGTACACCGAAGAGCCACTCTTGCTAGTTGAATCCCTATCACCATCTAGCCAATCTCTATAGAACTTAACCACATCCTCTATAATGTCCACCACATCTTCTTCCATCCTATTCATTATGGGACCCACCCGCCTCCCCCATTAAGGCATGATTTTCCTTGAGGACTTAGCCACCATAGAAAATTTGAATGACTTGATAGGTTGGAATTTCGTGGTGGGGACACTCCCTTTAGTAGTCTTTATACCTCTCCCATGCTTTGTAAAGGCTTTCATTAGGTCTTTGCTTGAACCCTTGAATCAAAGCTCTAGCCTCCGCCGTTTTCTTTTTTGGGTAGAATCGGGACAAGAATTCCTTGGTGACTTCGTCCCATGTTCTTAGGGATTTTGGCCTTACCTCCTTGTCCAACCACTCCAAGGCCCGGCCTATAAGATAAAAGGGAAACAACTTTATCCGGATGAACTCTTGAGAAACTCCATTCACTTTGAAAGTTCGCAAAATTTTTCAAACTCCTTGAGATGGTTTAATGGACTCTCATTCTAAGCTCCTCTACATTGTCTCCTCTCGATCAAAGCAATCATAGCCGGATTAATTTCGAAATCATTCGCCAAAGTTGTAGGTGGAGCAATTCCACTCTCAAACTTGTACGCACCGGGAATTCCCAATTCTTTCAAAGCAACTCTTGCTTGTTCTCCCATGCCTAGTTCTTCTTCAACTCCTTCTTCGCTTGAGGAACTAAACTCCAAGGATCGACTAGAAATTCTTCTCCTTGAGAGAGTCCTTTCGATTTTCGGGTCAAAAGGCACAATGGATCAATCACAAGCTCTATGCATGCAAAACTCAATGAAAATATTAGTAGCAAGGCTACAAATGTAGCCTTAAGAAACAAATTTTTTTTGTATTTTTCAATTAAAGTGAAATAGACTCAAAAACTAAAGCTAAACACCAATATCACTCCCCGGCAACGACGCCATTTTGATAGAGGAATAAACGAGTCGTTAATTGTCTATCCCAAAATCAAACACAATTTATAATTTCCTAAACAAAACCAATACAAGTATAAGGCAAGGGTCGAACCCAAAGGAGTTAGTCGGTATTAACTATAGCCTAAGTCAAGCTACTTCGAAGATTGTAGTGAGAAAATGGTTGGTACTATGGTAACAAAGCTAGACTAATCAAGTAATTCAAGAAACTAAACACTGGGGATATAGGTTCCACATGCAAATTCAATAAACATGCTAATTGATAGTTCATTCACTTGATTTAAGCATTGCAAAGGACAAACAATAGTAGCAATCAAGAGAGTTCAAGAGCTATCCCCTAGAGGCCAAGCTAGGGGTCACTATGAATGGCTAATCAAGGAAATTCACAATCAAACTCAATCAATTAAAGCAATTCTCGAATTGGTGGTTCATGTCATTAAGAATTGCAATGCAATCTAGATTAATCTTATAGGTTGATCACTCCTAATCTAATTAATCACATGCAAAACTATGTCAACCAATTTAATTGCAACAATTAAATCAATCAATGATCATCAACTAGCACAAATTATCAATCAAGCATGCTTCTTCTTCTCCCTAGCAACTAATTTACTCACTAATCATGGTGTAGCTCAAGAACAAATCACTAGAAATAGCATTGATCATCATTCTAAATCAAAATCAAGAGAAATCAATATCAACTTCAATATCAAATTCAAATCCAAGCAAATAAAACAATCAAACATGAAACTAAAACAAACAAGTGAAGAGATAAACTAAAAGAAGAGATTCTCACTAATATTAATGATTGAGGATGAAGAAATCCAAGCACAATTGATCCAATGTTGAAATAAAAATCCAAAACCAAGAACTTCTCTATAACTTCTCTCTCTAAAACTAAGCTAATGAAAATTATCTAAAAGTTGGTTTTCAAAAAGGAATTACAAGTGTATTTATAGGCAAAGAAGGAAAACGGAATCCCCGCTCCCTATCTAGTAAACCCCGCGCCCTCGGGGAAATGGGTACTGAACCCATAACAAACTCCGCGGGCTGTCTGGGCAACACCCGCACCCGCGGGTCTTCTAGCCCGCGCCCGCGACAAGGGCGCGGCAAATCCCCTGCTCCCAAAGGGGGATCAGAGGGTCGCGGTCTCTCTAATCTCCCCGCGCCCGCGGGGAGCCCGCGGCCAGACCGCAGAGAGTTCCTGGTCGAAATTGGCCAATTTGGTGCAAACGAGCCCACGCCCGCGGCCTTCAAGACCCGCGCCCGTGGCAATCTTACAGGGCTTGATGCCCTCTCCAAGGCCTCTCCAAGCCGTCTCTGAGCCCTCTCCAAGCAGAGTGATTCCTCCTTGCTTAGTCAATATAGCTCATCTTGATCCCCTTGCAAAGACAACTCCTAGGTACCTACATGAACAAACAAAGGAAAGGAATAAAAGGGAAAAAGGACCAAATAAAAGGAAAACACAAAGAAAACACGAAAAAACACAAGGAAAGAAGGAACTAAAGGGAAAAGGAACAAAAATAAGATAAGAAAGCATGAAAAGGAGATGAAATCATCCTAAAAGACTACCCTATGAGTGCCATAAATGACACTCATCACCACACTCGGCAAACTGTTAAGTCGGCAACCTGTCAAGTGTTAAGGCTTACAAAATCCCAAAAATTACGACTCAATAAACTAGGTGAGTTGTTTACACAACTTAATAGACTCATTGTAGCATTCTAATCGAAACACCTGAGCTCATTTAGCTACGATTACTTGATCAATCTGTTATAAACGTAACTGCTCACCATTAAGGACAAATTCAAAATAGATCATTGTAGGGCCATCATAATAAAAAATCATGGCCGCAAACACAAGTAGCAATAACTAAAAAACACACGCGTCAGCAAAAAGTTGAGTGATCATCACATATCAGGGTACATAGAATAATAGAATAATCAACATTACTAACTCAATTAAATGATGAATATAATAACCTTTGTCTGACTCAACCTTGGATAATTATACGAACCTTTACTCAACTAACTCATATAACCCATAAATGTGTCATGCTCTTTGTTCTATGCCTATCCTTGGATATACATGGGTAATTCGAATAACAAAACCAACAAGTATAAAAACTTAAATACTCTCAATAACCAAAAAAACACCTTGAACCAGACCACATAAGGGTCAATTCCCACTGTAGGGGACCATAGAAAAATAAATAATAAAGATTGTATCTCAGTCTTAACTCATGATCATTATCTCATTACCAACATGCCAAGGACTAAGATCTATTACGTCGAGCCTCAAACCAATAACAAAATAATATGCTCAACCTTTTGATATAATACATTGATCAAATAACCATTCACAAATTAATTGATAATATCTCAATAATGGCACGGGTTCCCAAATTAATTAACGTAACAATTCGATTCATAAATATCTCAACTCTCAGGGAAGGGCGGCGACGGAAAGGGGAGCGGCGGCGGCGGTGCGGCGACCATCAGGGGAAGAGCAGCGGTACGATGGGTGATTTCCCAGTGGTGAGGATAGGTAATATGGTGGTGCTATGGTGGTGAGGTGGTGGCTTAGGAATGGAATGGAAATACCTAGGGGGATGGGGAATGGGGAATCAACTTAGAGGGATTTGGGGGAATGGAGAGGGTAAACCGGTAAAGGGAATGGGAAAAATAGTCTAACAAAAAACAACAAAGGGAATGAGGGTAGTTGATTCTCATTTTCTTTAATGAATACCCCCAACCAAACGGCCCCTAACTTCTTAATACACCAACTCCCCCCAACAATGGCAGCCGGCAGCCGCACCAATTTCACCATAACCTTCAACCAACCGAAGCAACATAACAATAACATCCATGTACCACCTCCACTAATCCAAAGTCCAAACAACTGTACTGTAGCAGCCATCCATCAATTCCCACTTCAATTGCACTAATTTCATCCCCGATTTTGAGACCCAAATGAGTTTGGGCAAGTGGTTTAGGCATGAGCCTCGTGGGCACCCACAGACCTCTCGAAATTTTTAACTTAAATTCTCTATTTTGGGCAAACAAATTTTGCTTTAAGGTTGTTTATTTATGCCACCAACTTTAATTTTTATCCTAATTTCATGGTAATTAACTTAAATTTTTTGAATTGAGGAATTACAAGTAAGCTTAGTCGAATATTGGGACATAGTTTGTGAAACAAGTAAAAGAGACTTCGTTTTTAGCATTAAGATTGCTGGAACTAGTGTTGCCAAAGCACATCACCTAGCAGTCAACTGTAGGAGATTTGGGTGATGCCTATTTTCACCTCTGCCAAAAAAAAATGTTGTTTTTACTAGCTTCGTATTGTTGGTGTTGATTACTACATGAATGTAATGCTACAGTAAAATGATGTTATTAATGTGAGTGATGTTGTTTGGTGATGATTACTGTTAAATTTAGTGCTTCAAGTTTGTGGTTAATAGCTTCTTTAGTGTTAGGATAAATATCTTAGTTTGTTTAATTTAGAATTAGTCAAATTAATTTAGTCATGTGTTAACTAATTGTTAGTGGGTGTTAGTGGACTTGTTAACTAAGTATTTGGATTATATCGTGGAGTACCAACTTCCTAGTTAGATTCTTTATTTTAGCTATTTGGTTTAACTTGTAAAGGCTATTTAAATGGCCTAACTTTCTATTATTGAATGGATTAGAAAGCATCAGTTTTACTTTAACGTTTCTCTTCTAGCCTTTTGCTTTCTTATTTCCAACAAATTGGTATCAAGAGCCATTTGATTCTAAGGGCTTGTGAGGTTAAAAAATCATGAGAGTTCTAATGTCTACCCCAAACAACTTTTCACTTTCTATTCCCACATTCAAAGGGGATAATTATAGTACATGGTCTATTAAAATGAAATCATATTTGAAAGTTATGAGTTTATGGGAAGCAATTGAGAGTGATGTGTACCCAATTCCTCTTTCACAAAATCCAACCGTAGCCCAAACTAAAAAATATGATGAGGATATGGCAAAAATTGCAAAGGCTCTTTCGTGTCTACATTTGCGGTGTCGGATGAAATCTTCACAACTATTATGAGTTGTGATACTCCTAAAGAAGCATGGGAAAATATTAAGGAGTATGAAGGAAACCATCAAACCAAACTCATGCAAATTTTAAACCTTAAAAAGGAGTTTGAAATGATGGCAATGAAAGGTGGAGAAGGTGTCAAGGAGTATGGAAATCGATTGATGAGTGTGGTCAACCAAATCAAGCTACTTGGTGGGGAATTTACAAGCCAAAGAGTGGTTGACAAACTTCTTGTCACTCTTCCGGAAAAGTACGAAGGTAAAATTTCTTTAGTTGAAGATACTAAAGATCTTTCCAAATTGGCATTTGCAGAATTGATCAATTCACTCCATGCGGTGGATCAAAGGAGGACCATGAGAAATGAAGTTGGTGAAACCAAAAATGAAAAGGCTTTTTAGCAAAGTCTCCTAATCAAAAGGGGAAAGGCAAGTCCGTCTAATGCAACAATTGTCAAAAGATAGGTCATGAGGAAAAGGATTGTTGGCATAAAGGAAAGCCGAAATGTTTTAAATGTCAAAAATTTGGGCATTTGGCAAAGAATTGTAGGTCTCAAAATGAAGAGCAAGAGATCATGGCACAAGTGGCCGTAGAAGAGAACCTATTTTAGAGTTGTGGGTGAGAAGTGCACCATGGAGGGAAGTACTCCAAAATTTAAAGAGTGTGTTAGTTGGTGAGATGTGCATCAACAAGTAAACATTGATGGTTGGTGATAATGTGCATCAACAACAATTGTGTAGGTGATGTGAAGGGCATCACAATAAAGAAAAGACGTGCTTCATGATTATCACAAATTTTAAAGCAAGGGGGTGTGTTAAAGTTAGTGCTTCAAGTTCGTGGTTAATTAGCTTCTTTAGCGTTAGGATAAATATCTTAGTTTGTTTAATTTAGAATTAGTCAAATTAATTTAGTCATGTGTTAACTAATTGTTAGTGGGTGTTGGTTAACTTGTTAACTAAGTATTTGGATTATATCGTGGAGTACCAACTTCCTAGTTAGTTGCTTTATTCTAGCTATTTGGTTTAACTTGTAAAGGCTATTAAATGGCCTAACTTTCTATTATTGAATGAATTAGACAGCATCAATTTTACTTTAACGTTTCTCTTCTAGCCTTTTTCTTTCTTATTTCCAACAATTACTACCAGAATTATATGAAAGATAACACTTTGTACCTATGTCTTCTTGTTTTCTCATCCCGCTTATTCCATTTTTCAACCTCTTGTGTGCATCAATTATGAATTATAATCCTATTATCTCTTACTTTATCATAAGATACAATGCTATAGTCTAATAAGATAGTAGAATATGAATTAAGGGGTGGGGATTGCCGAAAAAAATGGGGTTGCTGGGAAAAGGTGGGATTGGGTTGCTTAGTGGCGGATCCAGGAATTGTACCTAGGAGATTCGAACTTCATCAAACACCTGATAATTTAATTTTAAATGCACGAATATAAATTGGGTATTCAAGTATAAAATAGAGTGTTCAAATAAATATCAATATACAAATACACCACAAAATAAGTCCAAACTTCAATAAAATTGCAAAATAAAATAATCCAATACAATAATGCATAACTTTGATTTAATGTCTAAATACAAAACATTTAAAAAATGCAAATTATAAAAGCATTATTTGAGTTTTCATACAATAACACATCTACTGGTTTCCAAAAAAAAAAAAAAAACATCTACTGCCGATTTATTCATTTAAGTTAACAATTAATAAGGAAAAAAAAAACTAAAATTGCGTACTACCAAGCTAGAACCCGAGACAACTATAGAGTAACCTATCCAACTGAGCTACAAGCCTAATGGTTTACATGTTTGCTTCAAATATTATTTATAGAGGAAATACAAGTTAATAACTGTGCTAAACGACCAAAGTTTAGCACATGGCAATTTCATAATAAAATTGTATTGGAGTGCGTGTTTTGCCAATAAACAAATATAAAGTATTCTAAAGTATCTGACATTTGGTTATGGCACTAAGAAACAAATGTAACGGCATAGATCAAACGTTCGTCTAGGTAACTCCCACTCCCAACCACAGTAACTATCAACTCCAACAACGGTAATTTTACTTGAGTTAACATTTTTGTACCTCTTAACTTACTTGATTGTCTTTGGTAGAGAGAGAAAGACAAAATCCGAAAACCCAGTGAGTGAGAGATGAGGTTTCAAGCTTGCTAGATATGTGAAGGGGTTGCTTGAAGCTCCAAGCTTGGTAGATCTGGGTACGGGTTTGGAGATCTGTGAATCTGTGGTTGTTACATCTCGCACAAGACGGAGGTAAGTGTTCAATTGTACCATATTTTGTTGATTACTATTTCCAAATAACAAATTGGATGGATTTTGTCACTTGGTTCTTCGACTTTCGTAGATAATTGTAGGCAATGAGGCAAACTCGTTGTGTATGGTGTTTTGGTAATAATCTGGTTTTGGGGATTTTTTATTGTTGCTTTTGTAGGTGATTTCTAAAATTCTATTTCTGTGTTTTTTGGGGTTGTTTATTGCCGGAGATTTAATTTTGTTATTTTGTTGAATATTATGGAACTCTATTATTGCTGATTTAATTTGGTCTTATTGAGTGTTGCTGCATGTTCTGTATCATAATATTCAGCTATATCCATGTTAGGTTATTGATTTTTAATAGGAAACAATTGAATGTCAATGCCTTGGGTTAACATTTTCATTATAGTAAGTGTGGAAAACTTGCAATAATGGTGCGTTAATTTATCGTCCAACTTCGTTGATATTATAATTAAGCTATCCTAGCAGGTGGTACTTGTTGGTAGGTAGTAGTAATTGTCATAATCCAATGTTATGGTTTGTTACAGTTGAATAATTCGTTGACATTAGAAATTCCCTTTTCTTTAATTTTTATGCTTTGTTTATGTTCAGATGTCTTTGATTGAAGAAAATGATGGTGCTGGTAATTGCATTGTTAACTTGAGTGATGCAAACTGTGTTAGCTTGGCTGATGACATGAATGACCCAGACATAGCCATGGTTTCATTGTCTGGTCGTTCTGACTATGATTATATGGATGTTGGGGAGGGTATGGGGCTGCGGCTGCCTGCAATCTCCCCTAGTGTAATTCCCAGGGTTGCACAGGGTTATTTATCCCCAATCAAGACTATTCGTACTGTTTAGACTGTGGAGATTGTTGTCTCAACAAATAATCAAGTGCCTTATGTAGTAGATCCACCGGCAGAGGGTATGGTCTTCAAAAGCTGGGTGGATATTGAGGCCTACTTTAAACAGTATGCAGAACAACATGGTTTTGGAGTTAATAGGGTTTCAAGTGCGTACAAAGACAAAACCAGGGAGCGTAGGGCCATTACTTGGAGGTGTGAATGCTGGGGTGCGGCTGATATGAGGGCGCAAAGGGAGGCAAAAAAGAGGGCGAAGGCAATGGATGTAAGTGGAACCGGGGGCAATGAGGAGACCTTTGGCTGAAATTATGCCTTCATCTCGACACAGGAGGTGCATATGGCACATTATGAGTAAGATTCCCGACAAGCTTGGCAAATGCAAGTGGTAAGTGATTTCTTTTCTATTATTCTATTTAAGCAAATCCAAGTATACCTTCATGGACTAGGTAATTTAGATGCCTGACTTGACTTTATAATGCATAAATTTATCCTGCGCTGATCAGTATAAGGTCTTAAACCTTTTTTAGTACTAATGCATTTTCATTTTTCTTACATCAGTGTATTGCATAAATTCTTCCCTTTTTTTATTTTTACATCAGTTTGAAAAATTATTGTTAAGAGGTTGTTTATTTTGCAATTATGTTATAGTGTTGCTGTTATAAAGTTGATTGTTAGAAAATGTGTCTCATTCTTAATGTGGGAAAATTTATCATACATCATGTATTGTTTGGAAAATCAGCAATGTTACTGAAATGTAACCCTGCATCATGCATCAATGTTATTGAATTGATTTTGTTCTTCGAGACTGATTTATAATTTTGTGTTCCTGACAATAATTGTTGTACACTGCTTGAAGCTTTGCTGATTTCCCTTTCAGCACATGGGCCCTGTATTTTTTGTTTTATAGGTTGGGATTGCAGAATCATACTTAAAAAGTTCATAACATGCCTATTTTTGAATCCATTAAAGCCATCATTTAATACATTCTGCCTATTTGTTCATAACTTGTTTCATGTATAACCTTTGTAACTGTCTGCCTATTTGTACCCAACTTGTTTCATTTATAATCTCTCATTTATAACATGTTGCCTATTTGTTCAGAACTTGGTTCATGTGTAATCAAATTTTTAGCTGTCATGATTAATAATATGTAGTATTGGATGCTGTCATAATTAGTTATATTTGTTTCCAAAGATGTTATTATGGTTTGATTTGTTCTGTATGGTACCGACTAGGTACAATGACTTTAAAAGTCCTCTTAAGGCTCTGATTTATGAAAGCTTTACTGTGGATGAGTTTGAGCTCCGATGGTGTGCTTGTATTAAGAAATACCACCTTGAAGAAAATGAATGGCTTCAGGAATTGTTCAATGAGCGTCATATGTGGGTTCCATGCTTCATGAAAGAGCACTTTTGGGCTGGTATGAAGACGACCCAAAGGGTGGAGAGCATTAATAGCTTTTTTGATGGGTTTGTGAACTGGAAGACTAAGCTATTTGAGTTTCCCCAGAAGTACACTAGAGCCATGACTAAACGAGTTGAAGATGAAAATGAAGCTGACGCAAGATCAACAAAGTATGTTAGAAGGTTGGTTAGTGGGTTTAAGCTTGAGAGACTTTATCAAAAAATTTACACAGATGCCAAATTCCAAGAGATCCAAAAAGAATTGTCAAGGATGATGTATTGTTATGGGCGGGAGGAAAGGGTTATTGATGATAATACTGTCCATTATTACCTATAGGATTGTGTCTGGGTGGTTCCGGAAGGATTGAGTGAAGAGGTTATTACTGACAGAAGGCGCATCTATTGTGTGAAGTTCAGTCGAGAGTCAAAAGAGGTGATGTGAGATTGCTGTAAATTTGAAACTTTTGGGGTCTTATGCAAGCACTGCATCCGTGTCCTAGATCAAAACCTTGTGTTTGATATACCAGACAAGTATATCTTGGACCGGTGGCGCAAGGATGTTATAATAAAGCACACTCATCAAGGTTTCCTATCACGATCCGACCGACACAAAGGAGGTTCAAAGGTTCAACAAGATAATGAATCACTTCAAACCTATTTGTGATGAAGCATCGATGGTTGATGATGATACAGTTGACATGGTCATGTCTGCTCTGTCCAAGCTGAAGATTGATGTCAGTGATCGGAGGAAGAAGTTCATTGAAGCTAATGGTGTGATGACACTCCCTAGCACACAATATCCTACTTCCGAAAAAGGATCGACGAGTAACTTGAAAACTCCATCTTCTGTCAGAAAACAATTGAACACAAATACTCAAGAGGTCATGGAGTGTGATGAAGTTCCTGACCAGATGGCAAGTCAGCACACCCCTTTACCTGAATTTAGCCAGCACATACTGGATCCGAGTGTCAAAAAGAGATGTCGAGGGAGGCCTAAAGGATCTCGCAACAAACCCTACTCAGAGACAGGCTATAAAACCACAAAAAAGAAACAGGTATATTTCACAGTTCATATTGATTGAGTTGTGAGATTTACCTTTTACTAGTATAATGAATTTACATTTTCAACTTAAACTGGTATGCCTCTGATGTGCAGCCTAGAGATGCAGATTTGGATATGGAAATGGAGCTACCTCTGAGTGCTATGACTCCTAGGGTTCCTGCTGTGCCAGCTAAGGTAATTGAATTCTCATTCTTGACCTACATTATGCTACATTCAGTCTGTTGGGATTGGTTTGAACCAGTACTTGACACTGCAATGTGCTGATTGCTGGGAAAAAAAATCCAAGAGACAGAGAAGGAATATTGCTGTGAAATTGGCTACATGTTTTGAAGAAGAAGATGAGGGTTCAATGGAATTCTGAAGACAACCTAGTAGAATGGTGTTTGCGTGGTGATGAGGATAATTTGTGTTATGTAATATGTACTCTTTTAAATTCTCAGAACTTTTATGTATTGTGATAGCTTCCAGATGTTTGTTATGTCGTCGTATCGTGTTGCTCCTCATCGAGTGTATTGTGATAGCTTCAGGATGTTTTTTAATTTTAGGATGTTTGTCATGTTTGTTATGCGTACTGTCGTGGTTTGTTTGTTTATTGTATACTTGTCCGATTGTTCGTAAGACTGTAATGCGATTTGGGATGGCCTTAAATGGTGTGCCCAGTCGATGCCATCACGTGGGTCCTCTTCCACAAAAGTGTCGAAAGTAGGACCCTCATGGTCAATTTGATTAATGAGGTGGTCAAGGTTGCAGGCTCCAGCCTCATCGAGAGGTTGAAGCCCGAGTTTTTCAAAGGAGTTGTGGGAATATTATTAGATCGTCAAAACAATGATGATAACGATAATAAGAATGTTAATAACAATGTTAATGTAGGCAAAAAGAATCACAGAATCATTGAGGCCAACACCATTTTCGACCTAATTGAGATTAAGTTAGAATTGGGCCTGGTCCAATCAGTGAAGAATAAGAAAATGAACGAGCTTATATTTTGATCTTAGCCCAACTGTGCTCTTGCTGATGGGCGAGCCCAATTATGAGCCCACTCCGGAGGGATGGCTATGGTGTCCAAGAGGATCTTGCGGGTGTCAGCCGTGGTGGATGATCGGGCGCTGCATATGTTCGGATTAATAGCAAAGTTCTCAGCCACACTAAGGAAGTGTTGCATGACATGTTAAAGGTTGGTGCAGTCTCAAAGCTATGCATGGTGTTGCAAGAAGATTTTACAAAAAAAAATTACAATATTTTTTACATTTTATCACATTTTTTACAATTTTGTGCAAAATACCCGACCTGTCGTAACCCTATTTGCAAAAATTTTTACATTATCCCATGGATGATTAAATGTGCTTACATGTGGAAAAGACAAATTATTAAATCAAATTACAGTTTTAAATAATTAAATTATCAAATAGTTTTTTCTTTATTAAAAAATTAAATAATTACGATATAAAAACAAGTGAAGAAGACAACTTTTTAAACACAAACACTGTTACACATATTAAATCACAAGAACATTACAAGATTTTTTAGACAACAACAATTACCACAACCTATTACCACTAATAACATACTTACTTCTTCAACTCTAGTACTTCAATACTAACAATTACTACTTTATGACTCACACACTAACATAGCAACACCCCCACATAATAATACTTCAGTATGGGAGTGGGATTGTTGCTCCGCACAGCTGGTCGAATGTCTTTCTCCTTAGGAACATCATCATGGTGAATGATGGCTTGTTTGGTGTTCTTCTTGGCACATCGGTTTGCAACAAGGCCAGCATGCACCTGCTTCTTGAGTTTCACAACAGTACACCAGGGAACGTCGAACTGTATCGGTTGTAATGGGTTATGGAGAGCTTCAAAAGCGTTGTTGCTCAGGGTTGTCCTCAATAAACGGTTGGCTTTCTTCCCACCCTTTTTTTTTGTGAGGTGTAGGAGAGCCATTGGATGATGATCCATCGGATGAGGAAACTTTGGATTTGTTGGATAACAAGGATGGCTTCCGGGAAGGCTTCATTTTTGTGGAGATAGTATTAATTCGGTTGTGTTGGTTGTGATCTTGTTCTGTTCCAAGTAGAACTTTTTATAAGAAGAGTACCATTAGGGTTTTGACTAATGTGTTGATTTTACATTAAGAGGGTTATATTTCAATAATATTTCAAATGATGGTGTATGTCGTATACAAAGTCTGGTATGCAAATGTTTAGTTGAAATATAATCAATTTTTGGTAGAATGTTGTTTTTATTATTTGGTAGTATATTATTGACATAATTTATAATTAATTTTCAATTTAATATCACACTATTATTCGAAACCACTGATTAAGTTACGCGTTTAATTATTTAGCTTGAACTTACTTACTGGTCTTTATAAAATTAGTCAATTTACTAACTTGACAATAATGAGATATTAGTAATAATATCTATTATTTGTCTGTATTACTCTTATCCGCAGATCTATACCATGTTCTTTTTCGTGCTTTTGTGATACAAAGATAATTATACAACAGGTCCCCAACTTTTATATGTAGCCATTCCTCTTTGGACTTTGGTAACACATATCTTGTAATTCGAAAACGCAATTCCAAATGACATTTCTATATAATTGATTTTCAGTCGGTTTCAATTGAAATAGTATAGCTATTTTTACTTGCAATTTTGATTAGCCGAAAATTGAATGAATAAATTACGTTTTGACGTCATTTAAGTAAATAATTTTGGACATACGTATACGGATGGGTTAAAACATCTAAAATTAAAAAAATACTCATTTTTCCGAATTGTAAAACCATATATAGTATGTTATATCAAAAAACCTTATTAACCCAGTATTTATTAAAGGTGTAGGCTGAAATATGTGGACTTGTTATTGTATTGATGATTAATTACCTCGTTATGATTTTGATGAAAGTACTAATTCTGACTTTCAAGATGTTGTTTATAAGGTACTATTATTTTTATTACAATTTTTTTTTCTCTTGGTTAAATGGTATTATTTTTAAATATATGTTTGAATGAATATAATTAGTTTAGGTTCCGGATCAGTGGGTTGATTTTACTTAGTAGTTGTTAACAGCTGTACTCATCAATTAGTCAATCAATAAATGTTAATTAATTTTGTTTATTTGACCTTGTTATTGACTAACTATTTCATTATTTAAGATTTTAACAAGTAATTCATAAATTAATTTAAATCTAGCTATTAGTAATAACTTAATGAGTTTTTGCAAAAACTCATTGTTAACTAATCACATACAACCTTAAGTATCATTATTATATAATTATGGGTTGTATGATATGGTCTCACAATAACTGAATCTGTTCTCTTAACTAACGTTCTTTCATTATTTTTGTACAATGACATGTTTTTAGTAATGTCTTTGGTATCATGTTTCTAGTAACTCAAATTCTGTTCAACTCAATTCCCTGTAGTTTAGTTCATTTCAGTGTAATACAGTTCATCTCCCACCTCAGTTCAACATCGTTCAGCTCAACTCTTTTCCCCTCCTCATTTCGGTTCTGATATATTCATTTCACTTCATTTCAATTAAGTTATGTTCAAGAATAGGCCCTAAACCCTGAACCCTAAACCCTTAACCCTAAAACAAGAACCCTAAACCCTAAACCCTTAACCCTAAACCCAGAACCCTAAAACCTAAACCCTAATCCCTCTACCCTAAACCCTAAGCTCTAAACCCTAAACCCCTAACCCTAAACCCCAAACTCTAAACCCTAAAACCCTAACCATAAACCCTAATCCCTAAATCCTAAACCCAGAACCCTAATCCCTTAACCCTAAACCCTAAACTCTAAACCTTAAACCCTAACCCTAAACCCTAAACCCTAAACCCTAACCCCAAACCCTAATCCCTAATTCCTAAACCCTAAACCCTAAACCCTAATTCCTAAATCCTGAACCCTAAGCTCTAAACCCTAAACCCCTAACCCTAAACCCCAAACTCTAAACCCTAAAACCCTAACCATAAACCCTAATCCCTAAATCCTAAACCCAGAACCCTAAACTCTAAACCCTAAACCCTAACCCCAAACCCTAATCCCTAATTCCTAAACCCTAAACCCTAAACCCTAATTCCTAAATCCTAAACCCTAAACCCTAAACCCTAATTCCTAAATCCTAAACCCTAAACCCTAATCCCTAATTCCTAAACCCTAAAACTGAAACCCTTAAGCCTAATTCCTAAACCCTAAACCATAAACCCTAATCCAACCCTAAACCCTAAACCGTAAACCCTTAACCCTAAACACAAATCCCTATACCCTAAACTCTAACTCATAACTCCAAATCCCCTATCCCTAAACCCTAAACCTTTAACCGTAATCCCTAATCCCTAAACCCTAAACCATTTCTCCATATACCTACAAGTTGATTGGACTTTTATCATTACTGAACTCATAGTGATTGGTTAACCTAATAAGTACTACAGTGATTGGAGCTCAACTCCAAAAACCGAACTTGTTGGAGCTCAACAGAATTACATTAAACTGAATTTAATTGAATTAATTAAAGATAAACTGAACTGCTTACGATTGTTGAAAGATTGGAGTTGAACTTAAATTTAAAATGAATCGAAAAGCCCTAACTCCAATGTAATGTCATCATTAATATTAAACTCTCCATATGAATATTACCGTAATTATGAACCCATTAACTCTTCGACCTTCCCAGCATTAGGTTTTCTTTTTAAACATAACTACATTATAAAATAGCGTCGGAGACTCCTTATAGAGATGATTATATAATAGTCATTCTATTTTAAACCAAATGTATTTTTTCATTTAATTTCTAGTGTACGAAATGAAATTAGTTTATGAAATAAAATTTTATGCAACACTTTTAATGATTGAGGGATATTGCACAGCTTTTGAATTATTTGTTCATCGAATTCACAAAACCAAAATAATTCTTCTTATTGTAATAAATTTTGCAATGGTCCAAATATTTTTTATTTAAGCTTAGGACTACAATTAGTACATACCTATTGACCTACCCATTGTGGTATCCTAGGAGAATCAATTTGGCAGATTTGTAGTGAATCTATTTAAACTAGGGCAAGCTCCTTTCCAACTTTTCAAAACTACTCTGCAACCATGTCTTCCTATTCCATCTTCCCTTGAATTGTCTTATCATACTTTTAGGATTTTGATCTCACTTCAACTAGGGTTTTATACCATACTTCTTTGCTGCTTCCCCAAGGGTCTTGTCATATGATGTAAACTACAAATGTAAAATATTAGCAATAAAATAAAAATAAAAAAATATAGATTAATTAGTACGTATTAGTATCTAATTTAATAATTATTCTGAAAAATCATTGTTTTAACTAGAAAAGTAACATTGTATTATCATTTTCTTATTAGATAAAAGATATAGAAAATTTATTATCATTTTATTTGTAGAAGATATTTTCGTATGGTACCACATTATTTAAGTTTTAGTTAATTAGTATTCAAAACCAGTACAGTATTTTTTTATCAATATCTCTGTCAAAATATTTTCTTTGTAACATATTCCCCAACTTCCTATATACTCTCACTTAAGCCTACTTCACTAAGCAGCACCTCCCTCCAAAATGTTCATTAAAAGCACCATGC